ACTTTGTTTATAATTGAACCTTTTCATAGCCGAGGAGAATCTACCAAACCATGCTCTAGGGGATTGTTTCAATCCATATAGAGCCTTTCTCAATTTGCACACTTGGTTTCCTTGTCTTTGTTCAACTCCTGGTGGTATCTCCATATAAACTTCTTCCTCTAGGTTACCGTTGAGGAAGGCATTCTTCACATCATATTGTTTTATACTACAGTTTCTATTGGCTGCAATGGAGATTATGACTCTGACTGTATTTAGTTTTGCAACTGGTGCGAAAGTCTCTTGATAATCAATGCCAAATCGTTGGGTATATCCTTTGGCTACAAGTCTGGCCTTGTATCTATCTAAGCTTCCATCAGCCTTCAATTTTAATGTAAATATCCATTTGCACCCGATTGTTTGTTTTCCTTGTGGTAGTGGAACCAATTCCCAGGTTGAATTCTTTGAAGAGCCTCCATTTCTACATTCATAGCTTCCTTCCATCTTGGGTTTTCAAGTGCTTCCTGAACATTTGTTGGAATAGCTACACTAGACAACTGATTAGTGGCAAAAGCATATGATTTTGAGAGTTTTTCTGTTGAGACATAATTTCCAATAGGATATTTAATTTTGGCAGAGAGGTCAGGTTCATAAACTTTAGGAGGAATACCTTTGGTTGTTCTCTGTGATTTTCGAATTTGTGGTTCATTTGTGGGTGAGATATTGTTAACAGATGAAGAGAGGGGATTAGAGATTACCTCATTATGAATCAGTGAAGTAGAGTCAGGAACAGCCACCTCAGCAGGACTTGGTGTAGGTGTTAAATCTTGTGTGTCAGCTATACTATTGGTAGCTTCTCTGTCCACTGCAACAGCTATACTATTCGGGTTTGCTACAGATTCAGCTGCATTCAGATTCAAGTTCTCTGCAGATTCAGGTTCATTCAGAGCAGCTGTAGATATATGCTCCTCAGGCCCAGTATTTGTAGCTTCTTGTGAATGTGTTGTCCACACTTCTTCTCCTAATTTATGGTGGAACTCCCCCTGAGAAGAAGGCTGGGAATCTCCCCCTGAGTAAAATGGTTCTCCTTCATGAAAGGAAACATTGAGAGATACATGCAATTTGCGGGTAGTAGGATCATAACACCTGTATCCTTTTTGCACATCAGAATATCCAACAAAAATACATTTAGAGGCACAGGGATCAAGTTTATTCCGGAAGGGGTTTAGGAACATGTACATATACGGTACAACCAAATGTTCGTGGTTCAAGATTTGAAGAGTGAGGTATAGAGAAGTAAGATTCAAGTTTTTGCAGAGGGGTTTGGAAATTAAGTGTGCTTGATGGGGTTCGATTGATTAAGTACGCGGCAGATATGACTGCCTCTCCCCAAAAGTGTGTGGGAACATGCATGTCAAAGAGTGAGGCTCGTACAACCTCTAAAATTTGTCTATTTTTTCGCTCAGCAAGTCCATTTTGCTGAGGGGTATATGTACATGACGTTTGGTGTTTAATGCCATGGGAGGTAAGAAGGTTGGAAAAATTTGAGTTTAGATATTCCGTACCATTGTCTGATTGAAGAATTTGAACAGAAGAGTGAAACTGAGTTTGAACCATAATTTGAAAAATTTTGAATGCAGAAAATACATCACTTTTATGTTTCAAAAGAGAAATCCAGATCATTCGTGTACATTCATCAATAAAGGTTACATAGTAAAATGCTTTGGAGATAGAGGGAACCTTGGCAGGCCCCCAAACATCCGAGTGAACTACTTGAAAAGGAATGACACTTTTATTAATACTTGGAAGATAAGGAACACAATGGCTTTTAGCCAATTTGCAAACAGAACATTGAAGACTGGAAAGAGACACTGACTTAAATAAATGAGGAAACAACTTTTTCAAATACGCAAATGATAAATGTCCTAATCTACGGTGCCACAGCCAGATACTCGTAGATGCTTCAGAGACTGAGAAGGAGCTGTGGAGATGAGAAGATGTTGAAGTGAATGCAGGTGTGCAGTCCAGGAAGTAAAGAGCTCCATTTTTAACACCATAACCAATCGTCCTGTTTTGGTGAATGTCCTGAAACGTACAAGAAGTAGGTCCAAAGGTAACTTGGCAATTTAAATCAGATGTGAGTTGATTTACAGATAACATATTACAAGTTAAGGAGGGTACAAGCAGAACAGAAGTAAGGCGCAGAGTAGGAGTTAATTGGATACAACCTTGGCCTGTGATAGGAGCACAACCTCCATTTGCAGTGGAAATATATGTCTTAGGACATGATTCAATTTTATTCAACAGAGAGGAGTCCCAAACCATATGATTGGAAGCCCCAGTATCAATTATCCATGAAGATTTCCAACAATGAGCAGAAAAAACATAAGACTTACCTAGGATGCTAGCTTGAACAATGTGTGCTTGAGGTGCCTTTTCCTCAGTATCAGCGTGAGTGGTGAGGGCCTTGCTGAGAAGCTTTTTGCGTGGGCGTTTCGTGAAATCCCACCAGTCTGGGTATCCAATCAATTCATAACACCTCTGTTTGGAATGGCCGGATTCCCCACAATGAGAGCACAGAAAAGAGGCTTTGTGGGATGGAGCAGTATCACGGCGAGATTTCTGGTGTGGAGGGAATCCTGTGCGTGGGGAATGACTGATATATGCAGAGGGTTCATTAGAGGGTTTCGGGTTGTCCATCGTGTGACGTTGCTGATGGTCACGGCGGACATAGGCATAGGCAGTTTCAAGGTCCGGTTTAGGGTCTTTACGAAGAATATCCCCTCTGATTTGGTCAAAAACAGAATCAAGACCAGCCAAAAAAATATGTACCCGTAATCGAGAGAGGGCAGAATGCTGGTGAAGAAGATCAGCAACTGATGCGGAAGAGGGGGTGCGGTGGTCAATTTCCTGGAAGATAGCCAACAGTTCGTTGTAGTATACGGCAAGAGGACGATCATTTTGCTTTGTGTTGAACGATCGTTGGTTGATATCGAACAAGCAGGATTCGTCAGAGCCATCATAAAAGGTCTTAGAAGCAGCATCCCATATCTCGCACGCTGTCTCCAGACGGATAAACCTCTGCATGAGGCTAGGGGACATGGACTCAATCAACCAGCTTTTCACGCGTTTGTTGTCGGTGATCCAAGATTCATAGGAAGGATCAGCAGCATTTGGTTTGGGTTTAGCACCGGTGAGAAAGCCGGATTTATTGCGGGCCCCAATTCGCATGTCCATGAGTTGGGACCATAGGGGATAATTGGTTTCGTCAAGAACAACGGTGATGGGAAGAGAGGAGTGATCTTGGTTGATAATGATGTTTGGTGGAGGCATTGGGATGGTAGAGGACAATGGGTTTTGTTCGTCGGAGGGCATATTATTGCCAGTGGTGTTGATGGTTTCCATCTAGGGTTTGAAGGAGAAGACGAAAGTGGGAATTGGGAAAAAGAAGTGAACCTGGTCTGGTGCGTACGGTTCGGGTGTGTTGGGTGAAAAAGAGGTTAAAGGGAGGGAGGTGGGTTTCAGAAAAATAATTCAAGAAAGGAAAAAAAAATAAGGTGGGGTTTCGTAAACAAAAAAACGGAAAAGGTATTGCAAGGGAAAAAAAAATCAAGGATCAGAACTTAGCTCTTGATACCATGTCAAATTAACTTTGTATTTCATTCATCATTTTACAAGGTAAAGAAGGTGTTTAAATACACCAATAACAGAAACAGGATCAGATCAATATCCTATACAAAACAACTAAACAAAGAACAAACTCCCTAATTTTCTTAACAGTAAAAAACAACTTTACAAACTAAGTTTAAAATTCAAATTCTATTCTTAACAGTCACGAGTTAGGAGATTTTACTTTTGATGATCTGCAAGCTACTTCTCGTCTAACGAACAGTTGTGAATTAGGCATATCAGTATACGTCACTAACTAACGTGATGCTGCTGCTAGTCCTTTTCATTTGTCATGCTTCTTGTGTATGTCATCTTGAAGACAAAATATAGATTCAAAAAGATAATTTTCTTTTACCGCATATGGCATAGTTGTTGGTATGCTGGCTTGTTGGCTTTGTTCTAGTTGTATTTTCAGATATCCATAAAGGTGACCAAGCAGGAAGGCTTATCTTATACTCTTGGCACTTGTATAAAACTACAACGTAGAAGAGCTTGGACTTATGAGTGAAATAATCAAATTACATTTTGCAAGAATGTGGCTGATAGAGTCTATCTTGCTCTCTTTCCTTCCGATCGACAATGGCAGTTGAACAATTAGGGCAAAAAATCCGTACTAACGTTAATTTTGAAATGTATCTCCATCGTAAAACACTTTTCAAAAGAATGACTATAGTAGAGCAGTCAAACACGTAGGTTTGACTGACGAGATAAGTCCCGCCAGTGAGAAATACGAGATCAGAAGCCACGTAGGAAGCCCAACCAATCGCGTCAGTCCATGTCACGTGTTTTCCACGTATCCCGCCACCTGCTGTGACATGTACCAGTCCCGCCATGTCAGTTGGCGAGACTAAGCCACGTGTGCGACACATCCGCAGTTCTTGTGACGCGTTCCAGCCTCCCCTCGCCTCACTCGTGGGGTAGCGTCCGCTTGTCAATCTCGCCACTGACACTTACGGTTGATACCTGTCTGGTTATATATAGGTCTTCCGGTGTTTGCTAGTATTGAAACTTTGGAATTTGGTTTATGTTTTCTATTTTTGTATATGATTTTGACGGACGGTTTCTTTACTTGTAGTAATTTGTTTGTATCACTTGCTGTGTGTAATTAATTTCGAAAAGGTTTTGTGTCACTTGCTGTGTGTGTAATTTCCAAAAGGTTTTGTGTCACTTGCTGTAATGCGGATTCAAATGTTGTTTATTTACTTTTTTTAATCTCCACTTGCATCTGATCTTTTTGTGTTATTTGCATACACCCCTGTATTATTACAATGGAACAATATCGGTCTTTTGTATATTATAATGGTTCTAAAATTAACGGTGTAGGCGGGTTGAGATTCGAAGGGGAAAAAAGAGCAATGTATATTGTGCGAGGCTTGTCCATTGAAGATCTACTTCAGAAGATTCGTCAGAAGTTGAAGTTGCAACAAAATCAGGTAATTTCTTCAATAACGGGTAGAGTCCCAAGTGGAAATCGCAAATATGCAGGTTTTAATCTAACTGATGATGAGGACATTGATATTTTTCTTGGAACATTTGTCCAAAACTCTACTACTTCTCAATTTGTTGAGTTATACGTGGATATTGAGACATCAGACGAAATGTCAACACCGACACGTGGGTTAGACCTTAACAGTCAGACACAAATGCCGTCATCATCGGTACCCCAACCCACACAATCAACTATTGCGCATGGAGATGAAAGCGACTATATGGTAGATGTTGAACCTGACAATGAAGATGAGGAGGAAGATGAAGACACTCTATTGGCAAATGACCATGATCAGAATGATAGTGATGGAGGAGATGATGAACATCATGATAATCCCATAACACAGGAGACAGTTATCCCTGCGTCCAATAATGCGGTTATTCCACCAACATCAGGTTAGCCATTGAACGTGTTGAATGATTAATTTTTTTTTAATCGCTTTAATATTTGCCATATCGTATTTTTTTATTTTTTTTGTAGATGTGACACCATTTTGGGATGACATCCCACACTATGAGGCTGTTAATTTGGATTATCCGAACGAAGACATACTGGATGTTGAAGGCTTAGGTCGTGGTCAGTGGACAAGAGGAGACGAAATGTATGTGAAACAAGAGTTCCGGTTGAAGAGCGATGTGCAAGCCGCTATAAAACATTACTGCATGAATGAGCATCAAGAAGCTGTAGTGGTTGAGAGTACTACCACGAAGTTGTCTATGAAATGTCGTAAGCATGAAGAAGGCTGCAATTGGCGAGTAAGGGCAATTAAACCGAAGAATAGCAACAGCTGGGTAGTCACTAAATGGGGTGGAAAACATTCTTGTGTCAGCACAACCCTTTCGCAAGATAACAAACAACTTGATTCACAATTTATATCTGAGGCCATTCTAGGTACTATATACATTGTTGAAGTTTTCGTACTGCGACAATTTATGTGTTTATCATGTGAAGGTGGATATTATTACTAATTACAAATATGCTCTATATCTGTATGCAGACATGGTGAAGGCTTCGCCGTCGGTGGCCGTTATCTTGATACAAGAACGAGTTACTGCCCTTTTTGGATATAATGTTTCTTATAGGAAGGCGTGGAAGGGAAAGCAGAAAGCAATTGCTAAGATTTACGGTGATTGGGACGAGTCATACGCGTTCTTGCCAAGATGGTTCGCGCACATGTTGAATTTTTCTCCGGGGTCTGTTTACCATATTCAACATGGATCGTGTGTCATGAATGGACAAGTTATTACTGGGTCTAGGGTTTTTCAACGTGTTTTCTGGACTTTCGGTCAATGTCGGGAGGCGTTTAAATGGTGTAAACCAGTCATACAGGTCGATGGTACGCATCTGTACGGTAAATACAAAGGGACATTATTGATCGCCACAGCGCAAGATGGCAACAATGAGGTATTGCCAATCGCATTTGCGGTCGTTGAAAGTGAAACTAAAGATGCATGGGAATATTTTTTGGCATCCATCCGAATGCATGTAACCAGTAAGACTGGAATAAGCCTTATTTCTGATCGACACAAAAGCATTTTATCAGCAGTGGCCAATCCAGACATTGGATGGCAACCTCCTAATGCATACCATGTGTTTTGCCTTCGTCATGTGGGGAGCAATTTTAATACACGATTCAAGGATCAATACATGAAGGGTTTTCTAAAGAAGCTAGGTTATATATGCAAACTAGTTACATGAAACTGTGTAAATCCTTTGTCGATTGGGTCCTTTATTATATAAATATGTGTTTTTTTTCGTAGGATATGTTGCAAATAAAGACTACTTTGATGCCGCGTATGCCGAGTTCTGCAGCATTAGTCCAGAAGTCGCTGCGTGGATTGAGGCTGTTCCAAAAGAGAAGTGGACTCGGAGTTACGACGAGGGTGGACGAAGATATGGTCACATGACAACTAACTTGTCTGAATCAGTCAATAGGGTTTTCAAGGGAGCGAGGAACATGCCAATAACTTCTTTGGTAAAATGCACATATAGTCGACTTGCTCGTTACTTTTTTAAAAGAGGGTGTAAAGCACAGAAAGATGTCGAGACATAATAGGCGTGCATGTCCTACAAGACGCATATCAAATTAATGTGTTGGAATGATGCCAAAATTGTAATATAATATCTATCTTTCAGTAATCGCAAATCTAGTTCAGTACACAAGCTACTGAAATTGCAAGAAGTGAAATAATAAACAGGTGACATGCAAGAAGTGAAATAAAAATCGGACAGCATAACAGCAGAAAACTGGACAATCCCCTTAAACCTGAAATGCAGAAAATAACAGTCCAAATACATATCAACCATATCCATAGTTGGGAATTCCGAGTTCCCAGATACAAATCATTCTGCAGTACTACACATGAAACCATACATGACATAACAAAAACAGTAAATTACAATAATCCATAAGTACAGTCATCCACAAACACATCTAAAATGCATAGATAGGGAAACTATGATGATGGAGTATAAGTAGGCCATGGTCTGTTACGCGCATCACGTTCAGGGTTCCTGCGAATGACACCACCCACTCTCTCTGTATCAGGATCATGCCTAATATCGAAATCCTCTGCTGCTGCTTGGAGAAAGTCGTCCCCTGTGTCCTCTCCTGACTGATGCCCACTGCGAGACGTATGTGATGTTTCCCTATGGCCGTACCTTCCTGCAGTGACACTACTAGACTGGGTCCCGTGATATGCACCGAATGCTGACACTCCGTGTACCGGATGATAGGAACTGAACCCTGCCAATGGTGGAGTTCGCGCACTCTGATCAAACTGGGTACTCATCCACTGATATGAGGCAGGAAACTGTGTTTGAGAGTGTGGCGGCAAGTGAGGATCTAAACCAAATGACATATTTGTAGGCATCTGCATGGGCATCTGCATGGGCATGGGCGCGGTCATCTGCATGGGCATCTGCATGGGCATGGCCACGTGGCTTAGTCTCGCCAACTGACATGGCGGGACTGGTACATGTCACAGCAGGTGGCGGGATATGTGGAAAACACGTGACATGGACTGACGCGATTGGTTGGGCTTCCTACGTGGCTTCTGATCTCGTCTTTCACACTGGCGGGACTTATCTCGTCAGTCAAACCTACGTGTTTGACTGCTCTACATTGGTCATTCTTTTGAAAAGTGTTTTACGATGGAGATACATTTCAAAATTAACGTTAGTACGGATTTTTTGCCGAACAATTAGCCTCACACTTGGAATGGAGAGATTATTCTACGGAGCAGCATACTTAAAAGGATGGACGTACTTTATTCAACTTTCATATACTTGTGGGCCATACAAATCAAGTTATGGATTTTAAGTTGTGACACTACTGAACCCGACTCGCTCGCTGGGCTTCTAGACCAAGTTCCACAGAGTTTAAGAACGCTGCTATTTTTTCTTGAGCATAATCATGAACCAACCAGTCTTGTCAACCTTGGCTTATAGAAGCATTCTCAATATCGGTCGGTTTGATATGACCATTGTTGACAATACAAGCAGAAAATGGCTTTTACACCGCCCTAGCTGGAAGATATATATCAAGACAAGATGGCTACCCCTGAAGAAGACAGGACTGACGTACAATTACATCCACACTATCTTCGTAATTTATCCTCGAACCAATTGGTCCACTCAGCTCTGTGGGAATCTTGCGGAATCGTATTTAACAAATCTGCATCACATTCACATTCGTGGGAGATCTGTGTCGATCCCAGTTACGAAGTGATATGTGAAGATAACAAAGCGACGTGGCGGAGTCTTCCACCGAAGAATTGAAGCCAATGATAAGTTGGTTGAGAGATATGGGAATGGGATGCAGTAGAAAACTATTCAAGTGTTTGGTCGTGACTCAAGCCAAGAATGATGGCAGTTGACTTCTGGTCATCTTGGTCTAAATGGGAAGCTAATGAAGATGTGGTACCAGCCCCATTTCAATCTACAAAGTAACCATGGAGTCATTCTAAACTACAAGACGAAAGTTTATGCCTTCTACAGGTCAGTCCACTCAAAATGGAGGTGCGTGCCTCTCTTCGTATCTCTGGTTAGAGGTACATGCTTCTTTATCTATTATACTGTTATCTAGTGGACCAAGTTGGTCTCATAAAAAATTGAGGTATATGCTGCCGAAACATGTTACTACACTTCATGGAATATGTATTGTGATTAGAAGTAATCAGACCATTAAATTGCCAAAAGGCAAACCCGTTAATCTTCCACATTGTTTAAAGCATATAATTAGCAGAAAATAATTCCTATGGTTAACTGATACATAGCTGATTGCCGGTGATGCATGGTGGCTGATTGAAATCTCGGTAAAAAAATGAGTCAACTCGTCCCTTCTTGATTGGCGAGTCGGTCAGGTCGGCTCGTTGGGCCTAGCACGTTTTGTCGGCCCTAAATATGTGATTTCAAGATAAAAATTTTAATTCATGGGGAGCACCAAATTTACAATAAAAAAAATTTGTTTAAAACTTAAAGAAAAATATATAAAAAATGTATAAGTAAAAAAAGAAAAAAAAGTTCTTTTTAAGTAAAAGGGAGCAACACCATTGAAGTTTTTCTCGTGGTTTGATATCTTTTGTGCTTGTACTTTAGTACTAAAAAATTTCTAATCAGTCATAATTCACGAGGATAAATAGTAGTACATACACTAAAATACCTTTAACAAATTTATCAAAAATAAAAATAATAAATACCTTTAATTAACAAAGATAGGTATATTATCGCATCTAGAGAATGTTTGGAGAGGAAAAATAAAAGGAAGTTTTTTTTTAATGAAAGAGTTATAAAAAATATGGGAAAAATAAATATAATGTTATAGGAAAGTGTTTAGGTTATGTTATAGAGATATAAATTGTGGGACCCACACTTGTTTTCAAAAAAAAAAAAAAAGTGTGGGTCCCTCAATCTCTATCTCTATAACATAACCTAAACACTTTCTTATTAACATTATCTTCTATTTCCCATAAAATATTTATAAAGATGGATAGGAAATTATTGAAATCTTAAATGATAGTGTTTTTTTTTTTTATCAAACTATAATGTAAAATTTCAAAAATAAAATTACACGAAAAATATTAAATAAAATATCTAAAATATAAAAGATATATGTAAATCTAATTTAGATAAAATCTGAAAAATTAATTTAAAAGGGAAAAAATTAAATTATAAAAATAATTAAGTTAAAAGAATTTAAATGCAAAATTAAAAATAATTTCAAATGGTGTTTGTCATTTTTAAAAGAAAAATACACCAAAAATTTGATTTTTTTTTGTCCTCAAATAAGCACTCTCGAACTTAATTAATATAGAGTGAATATGAAGAATTATACAACTCAATTAACGTACTCAAGATATTAATGTTTGATATACGCAACACATGATACTATATATGCAATTTCTACCCTTTTGAAATTAATATTTCAAAAAAAAAAAATTATATTACTAAATTATCATGAATCATTACGCAAGAAACACTATGCTATTTTTTAAGCTATTTTAGATGGTGTTATTAGTAATTTTTTTAGTTATTTATATTACTAAAATATCATATAACTATGGTGTATCATATGATACACCATATAATTCACAACCACAGATATACATATCATAGAGTGCATCAGAAAGGAATTTGTATCTAACGATGTGATACTATATCATACAATACGATACTGTATCATATGATATACAATACTTATCGTGTATCATACTATAAGAAAATTAAATCAATTTTTTTAATTTTTAATATAAAAAAGAAATAAAAATTTGATTTATGATTTATATAAAAAAATATTATTACTAAAAAAAGAAAATAAAGATTTGATTTGTGATTTAAATTCAAAAATTAATTTAAAAAATCTATATTAATAAAGAAAATAATTAAATATATATTTTAATATATATTTTAATATATATTTTTAAATTATTTTTTATTATATTTCTATATCTTATAATTTAATATGATTCACCATTCACAATAAAAAAATAACCAAACAATACATAATACGTATTACAATTCAACAACGTTATTTTAAAAAGCGTCATGTTAAATGTAGCCGAGATCGAGCATATCTTTAATTAAGGGTAGGTATTTTTATTGAAAGTAGAAAAAGTGATACTCAGTTAATTAACATTTTTTTAATAGTTAGATTTGGTAACATTAACTATAAAAAATGAGTAAAATAAATATAATAAATCTGGTTATTTTTCTCTGACGTTAACAACTAATACATTGAGAAGATATTGATAATGCTTCGTAAAATCTATTTTGTCGTTTTTTTCAATGCAATGAGTTCCATATGGTGTTTTGTGGTCATTAATGCATCTAAAATTGTGCAAAATATAGATTTATTATTAATTATAAATAACCGAATAACTTTTATCATTTTGACGTGATTGTTGTTTTTTTTTTTTCCTATGTTCTTCAACTCAAAATACATCTACCGTGATATAATAAATTTGAATCTTTATTTCAATAGTGGAGTAATAGTCAGAAGTATTTTTTGAATTTATATATCAAATTAAAATTTTAAATTATTTCCCGCAATTACATTTTTAAATTTATAGCACATATTTTTTGAACTTATATATCAAATTAAATTAATACTTTTTATTTCTAATTAGTTATTTATTATAAGAAATGTATTTTTAAATTTTAATTAATATTTAAAATTTTGAATAAATTTTATGCACGAAAAACATTCATAAATTGCCCATTTTTTTTTACTAATTAAGTTAATATTTCTTATATTTGAAAATACGCGTTCAATATATATTTGTTAGCGTAATTTACAATGACAAATACGCAAGATATTAAATAACATGTCATAAGAATCAGGGCGCGCCTTCATTTGCGCCTATGTTATTCCAATAAACCAATTATCCTTTGGAGAATGACAAGGGCCACAAATATTTGGCTCCATGGTCCCCCAATGAGCCATTCTGACCTTTTTCTTTTTTGGTTTTTCATGCTATTAATTAAGAGAAAAATGTTTATCTTTTTAAATGACATAACTTATATCATTTCACTCTCACAAAGAGGTAGAACCCA